TTTTTTTTTTGACAATTCCAAAAAAGTACGTTTGACCGTATTATTAAACAAGCTTAAAAAATAAGAACTGAACACTATTGGCATGCACATTGGGAAAATAACATTTCCAATTCGAAAATCAAATTCAAAACTTAGTTTTTTAAATTAGGTCACACATAAAATGTGATTAAGATTGCGATGTGGCAGTGGCATTTGGCTCTTCTTCCTGAAATTTTGGGGACAAATGTATTTAAAGATGACAATAAATGAATTTCATTTCATGATGACTGAAGCTGAGTAGCTCTAATATCTACCATTTATAACTTGACCATGGTTTTAAATAACGCGCTATAGCGGCTCAGATCAGCTAACGCCAAGCTATTGCTGTTTTTGCCGCTATTCGCGCTATTTGGCGCTATAGCGGATGCGCCGCTATAGCACCAAATAACGCGAATAGCACGAATAGCGCGAATAGCGGCAAAAACAGTCTGGCGCTACTATGCTATAGCGGCGCTATAGCGCGGCCATAGCGACGCTATAGCTGCGCTATAGCGTCGAATAGCGGCCAGAAATGCCCGACGCTATTTTCCATAGCCCGCGATCAAAAACCATGAACTTGACCCATAATTTCAACTAACAATAGTTTTTATCTTTATATTTATGTATTTAATTTTAATTAGAATGTCGAGTTGGACAATTCATCAATCACTTGATATTAGTATTTGAATGCGTGCACATGGATATGAAAAAAAAAATTACTTTTATAATATTGAGAGATCATGACTAATTAATTAGTTGAAAAAATTTATATTTATTATATTGTAACAATTGTTTATGCGATATTAAAAGGTTTGACTATATCATTTATTATATAGTAATATAATACCACTTATGAGTTGTGTCACATCGTTTATACATGGAACATAAGCCTAACTTATAAGTCTAGTGGGTTACTTCTCCTACAACCAATTGATTTTGAGATGGGACATCACAATGGTGCATGTAGGCTCACCCAGTTATGGTGCGCTTCACGTGCATGTGATTGCACCCGTTTTCCCCGTTCTTGCATGGTATTAGAGTCGATTCTACTCGTTACCAGACATATGCGGGCTTGGGCTTACATGGTAGTAGAGCCGATTGTACGTGTTAGTTACCCGGTATACGTAGGCTTGGCTTCGTATCAGGGTTGTCTCCATAAATTTGGAGGCCCCAGACAACTTTTTTTTTTCTTCGAATTTTTTGATTTGAACTTGTGTGATAATTAGGGTTATTTGCAGATTATAGCAAATAAAACCTAATTAAACAAGACTATTAAATAAATAAATAATTGAAAATAAAACAATTTTTCTTGTTATTCTAGACCTTTGAACTGATTAATTACCTCTGTGCTACACATATCTTTAATAAATTACATTCACGCAGAGTCTCGATGAGAAGAAAGTTAAAAATAATATCACTGCAAAGAATATTTATTCTCACACAACTTGTTCTGACCGAACATCATAAGAAAACAAATGAAATAATAGGGCCTCAAATCCATCACAATGTACATATTTTGCCATTAGCTCCTTCATTAATTAGCCCTTTCATTTGTGTAATGTGCCAAGCCTTACCTATAGGAAGGAAAGTCCATGCAGCAATTCTTGCCTCAAGAGTAGCAACTATATCATCCTAAAAGAAGAGAACAAATTATTCATATTCATTATAATATAAGATGGCCATAATTTCACTCAGCTTCGAAGTTCAAAGAAGTATGGAAAAGAGTAAAAAAAGAAGCACTCTCCTACAGAGAAGAGGAGAAATTTCAAATATCTCCACAAATGAAAAGGAATCACATAATTGTTCAATAACTACAGTCAATTCAAAACCAAGTATAAAATCATGCAATTTCAAGTCCACAAGTAATCAAAGTCCTATAGACGTATAAATAAACGAAAATTCGTTTCAGGAAGAAAACATAGTGAAGATTACAGACCGAAACAAATAGAAATCAACCAAAATCGTTTCGTTTCTGATGCAAATCAACCAAAAAAAACGAAGAAACAGATGAGCCCTGATCTACATTTGTACAATAATGAATAAAACAAGACAAAATAAGAACTGTAGTAGAAATAGTACCCATGCAAAAAATTGAACAACAAAACACAGCAAAACCAAGAACAAGTCTCGATATTAATTCACATTCCTGGAGTCATTCAAGTGGGCAGACTTCAAAGAATGGATATTTATTAACATAACCATTCACATTCAACAGAATCGATAAAGAACCTTGTAGATCTCAGCACTGAAAAATATGCAAAGGCTTTTCATAACACAACTGTCGTGCATTAGATTGCTTGTACTCCAAAAAAAAATGACTAGTAAGTAAACTAAAATATAAATACTCAAATGTTTTAGTCTCAGCCGACCGACAACAGAGTACTCTTGTGGAATCTAAAGATATAAGATCCACCCAATGTTAGTGTTGATAACTCGAACGATATTTCGCGCGTACGAACCTTGTACGCGAAGCACCTGCGATTTCTGGGCGCAGAATGAAATACGAGCACATCTGGGTAATCTAGCCAACCGTCAGGAAAGAACATCATATCTTCATGTAGAACGAGATTTTCATTTCGATGTTGTAGAAACTGGTCGAACCTCCACTTTTCATCCTCCAAATCAATGCTGATTACCTTGACCCACTCCCCAGTTTCTGATTCCATCTGCCAAACATCCCACGAGAAATTCCCAAGGGGGACCAATACAGTTAGATACCTACCAGTCGACAGATAAAACATCCTTTTCCCTCTATGAGCTCGAGGAAGTGGGACCAGCGACTCGGATATAGTTTCAGTCTCCACATTCATAGTCAACACAGTCACAATCCTATCTGCGACCCAATGCACAAAACCTTCGGTTGTCAATGGAATTTTGTCGCACAGCAATCTCCTGCTCGTTTCAGACAAGTGTTGGATGCGCACGTGCCTCCAAGAGGTATCGACCCCAACAGTTAATATGTCGCAGCCATAAGTCCGTACACCACCACGTCCTCCCAGACAATGACATAAGACCACTTTGTACTCCTTAGAGGCCACCGCATATGCTAAACAAGAATAAAACTTCATAGAAGAACTGTGGATATAAGGGGGGAGGTCATAGTGTTGGTTGGTTGCAGGATTCAGGATGCACAATCTAGACTTGCTATAACACGAGCAGCTCCCAAAAGCCAGACCATTACAGCTGGACCAAATCCTGCAGCCATATTCATTCCGGGACCTGAATTTCTCGACCCGGCCCTCCTTCATGGAGATAAAAATCAGTTCTTTAGGGAACATCGCAGAGTACAAGAGGAGCCCGGAGGTCGCACGCTGAAAGTGCGCGTGAATGAAGTCACGAGTACGGGTCAAATGGTACCACTTGGGGCAAACAAGACTTACAGGGTCTCGAATAACATGAGCGGGGAGACGAGCAAGGATATCCAATAACAAATCTTCGGGAAGAGACTCTAGGTTTGCAAATTTAAATCTCATCCTGAAATATTTACATGTGGTGCGATTATCGCTGGCTACCTGCATATCGATTTGAGATTTCCCGTGACGAACTATCAAAAAAAAAAAACTTCAATTTTTCCCTTTAACCAAATGCTGCTGCTATCTAGAATGGATCTGGGGCGAAAAGGTGCAAACTTGGGCCAATTTTCACACTTTAAAATCAAGCTAAAACAGTAAATAAGCTCGATTAAGGTTCAAAAAATCATGAAAATGTATCAAAAATTGCTTACGACGACTCCGGTGGGTGATTGAGTGTTCGCGGCGAACTTCGGGTCGCTCCGGAATTCCTCGGGGAGTGGATCTGAACAAAAATTGGTCATTGGCAACAAGAACAATTAACGAAAGAGAAGAAAAAGAACTAGATTAGAACTTATTAGTTAGCTTATAAACTTATCTATTCAAATAAATTTCGTTTTGGTAGACGAAGATTTTTTAAAAACTCGAGTTTATCTCATATGTTTCTTTGGATAATTTTTCAAATAAACTCGTCAAAATTTTTATTTCAGATAACTTATAAGCAAATTTTACCAAATATTTTTATTATATAAGCTAACTTTTTGGCCCTGTTTGTTTTTTAGCGTTTTGCACTTAAAACAGCTTTTTCACAATTTTAGCTGTTTGACTTTACAAATCCGCTAAAATAAATCGTTTGGTAAACAGCTTTTAAACATAGCTTTTTTGTTCCATCCGCTAAAATTAAAAACGCTGTAATTTGCAGCGTTTGAGTTTAGCGGATAAAAAAAAAAAAGCAAAAAAGTCTGAATTGCCCACTCTGGTACTCTGCCCCTTCCATTTTTCTTTCCTATTTCAAAATTCTCTCTCCAAAAAAATCATCTTCTCTGCTAGCGTTGCAGCCCTTCCGGTTGCTCTTTACCGCCAGGACCACCGCCTCCGCCAGCACATCCGACTCTTCCGCTGACGCATTCCACTCTCTTGCGAGAGCGAACGCCCTTCACAGAGAGGTACTCTCTCTTCTCTCTCTTTCTTTCTCTCGCACACACTCACTTCATCATCAATTTGAAAAGGATTCAAGGTGAAAACATAAACATAGGCTGATAATTGGGATTGAAATGTAATCAAAATAACTGATAGTTCTAAATCTTAAATTTAGGGTTCATATTGACAATAAAGAAGCCGATTGTTATTGATTTGGGAACAATAACTTGATGTTTCATTTTTTCCCTCTTTTCTAAGGCAATTCATTTTACATTCTGATGTTGGAATACAAAATCTATGGGAGTGAGGACAATAACTATTAGCTTGCCTAGAATTTGGATTATAAAGTTGCAAACATCACTTTTGCAGTCAGATTTTTCATACTTTCTTTTACTTTTTTTTCTTGGTTTTTATTTTTGTTTAGAAATTTTTGGTCATTTCATTTTTTTTTACATTTAGTCCCCATGCTGTAATGAAGAGACTAAGATATATATGTAAGAAGATAACTAATTGTTACACATTTTTTCAACTTCAATATTGTTGTGTGGTGGATAATTTGATTAACTATTGTTGTTTCTGTCTTGGTGGTTATGTGAGCAACCATGATGTTCGATTTTGTTTGTATGATGTTAATATATTGTTTTCCCTTGTGACTTATTAGTTTTCAACTTAATTAAACTTAAGAGCTTAAATGTGTGTTTGGAGTTGTTAACATACAGTAGCTTATTGAAAATAATGAGAATTTCTCAATGGGCATACATGGCATTGTTGTGGATGATAACCCAATTTGCTTGATGTTTTTTATTACTCTGCCTATGAAATGCCAATACCATGGTGTTTTTCCTCTTCTGCAACTTTTTCTCTAATATGTTCATTTGTTTTGGAGGAATGATGCAAACAATTTCAGAAAGAAACCATTCAACGGAGGAAATTACTACTTCAATGAAGAACATGATGAGTTTGCACATGGATATAACGAAGTCAACGAAGGAAAAGTGTAACTATGACCTTGGGGATGCTATGGCGAAATTAATGCACTCTTTCGGATTTGACAGCTATTTCGCCAGAATTTTTCTTTGCTTGCACGATTTTCGAAGATCCACAAAAAAGAATTATTTTTTTTGGATTGCCTGATGATAACAGTAGGGTTGAATACATTAAGTACATGTATAAGGAGCATAAGAAAACAGATAGTTAAGTTTATTATGTCTTTACTTTTTGATGGTATGATTCTGAATGATGTGTTCTTTTTATTTTCTAGACATAGTTTTGAGTTGTATGGTAATGTTGGATGTTTATCTATTGATGGTTTATTTTAGTATTTGTACTTTCTAATTTAACTTTATTAATCTATGAAGTTACTTTTGTAAAATTGATATAATTCTTTTATTCTAACTTTTGCAGGCATGGAAAATAATGATGTGAAAATTAGGCAACTTCTTCTGTATGAACAACAATATCTTCAATGCTTAGAGTACTTGAAAGAAGAAGATGAATTTTGGACCAAAATAGAATCATTTGTTCATGTTTTGCACTTCATAATTGTATCAGAAGAAACACAACTGGTGATCCGGGCTTTAGAGTTATTGATGCGAATCCTGAATTCATACCTCCTGATGTGTTCCACGATGTTGAAAGTAGTTCTGCACAAGGTGATGAGGGAAATGAGGACTCGGGAGATGCCAAACGTTCGTAATGATATAGCTTCAAGTTTGATGGCATACAGACGTCGCTCTTAAAGTATTTGTTTTTTTTTTCTTTTTTTTTTATTTTTTATTTTTTGATTATAATAGTGAATATTGCGATTGAGCCACATTTATATTTTCCATTAGTATGACTTATCGTTGGCTTTGTTTATATGGCGTGAACTTAATTACTCGATCATGAAATAATTTTATTTTATTATTGTTTATATATTTTTTATCATATATTAATCATTTTAATAAATATTTTAAATATTGAATATTTTTATTTCTTAAATTATTATAAGTTCAACATAAATTAAAATGATAAAGTATGTTGATGTCCTTATAAGTAATTTTACATGTTAACAGCTAATTAAAAAAGTTAATTTTACCAAACACTTTTTTACAAACAGCTAACACGATCAGCTGGTCAAAACAGCTAATGCAATCAGCTGGTCAAAACAGCTAATACGAACAGCTAACAGCTAACAGCTAACAGTTGATTACCAAACAAGGCCGATATGTTCTAGCATTTGAATATCTTTCATCTATGTCACGTGAAATGAAAATTCAATCAAAAAGGTTTCTTATTTGTTTATTCATTCTAAAATAATTTTGAACATTTGTT